CTCTCTCTCTCTCTCTCTCTCTCTCTCTCTCTCTCTCTCTCTCTTTCTCTCTCTCTCTCTTCTGCCCCATCCTCTCTCGCCCCTTCTCTTTCACTCTCCGTCTCTGTCCCTGTCTATTTCTCTCTCTCTCATACGTCTTCATAATTACGTCATCATATATACATTATCACATATACGTTATCATATAAACATTATCACATATACGTCATCAAACGTCATCATATGTGCGTAATCATCTCTATGCCATCATATAGGTTTTTGGCTACGTCACACGCGTTGTGGGTATATTAGCGGATAACAGGAACCCCGATAGAGGTAGTTTGTTCTCACCGTGTTTTGTTTCCGCCTCCTTGCATATCTTACGATAGACACCCTTCTCCTTCACGTTGTTGAACGCCGGATCCCACCACTGTGCCAGCTTGCTGCCCTTCTTTATCATCATCGACATTCCCTTGAGCATGCAGGAGTACTGCGCTCCAATCCATTTGTACTTGGTCAGGTCCACCAAGGCGTCAAGGGAATGGAAGAATGCCGCAATCTATAGACGACCCACGTACGTTCAGAATGAGAAACAAACGTGTGTTGTGCACACCAGGCGCACGTATCTGTTAATCGACCCGCGTGTACTCGCAGAAATACTTCGATGGCTGACAAGCAAAGGGACTGAAATATGAGTTTATAATCCTCTATGCGTGCCATACGCACGCACACACGCACGTACACGCACGTACACGCGCGCACACGCACGCAGTGTATATGGCGTACCTCGTTGTTGTCGAGGGCTTTGTAAGCCTCCTCTGAGTGCGTGTAATGTTTTATTTGGGCCACCGCCAGATCATTGTTCGCGATGTTATTCTGTCGTAGCAAACACTTTTCATCGTTAACCCAGCCGTCCTGAAAACCTGCCGAAGAAACATTGCAAATCAAGATGGCTGCCAACCGTTCACACTTGTCGAAAAGCCATTTCGTATTTAGTTTAAATTTAGTTTTTTCATTTACTTTAAGACTTTTACATGATAAATGTCTGCTGATATTAAGCTAGTACAGCCCTACACCTAGTCCTAGCCAGATTAGTATAGCCCTAGCAATAGATTTGTAGCGGGCGCAAGTTGTGCTATATTCCTAAATTACACCTCGCATGCCAACAACTCACCGATGGTTTTACCGCGAAGGTCGTTCGGGTTGAAGCTGTTGTCGTTCTTCTTGACGATGAAGTTTGCCTTAATATTCTTCATGAATGATGTCGAGTAGGCTACGCTGTTGAGTCGCTCCTGTACCACGTACCATCCCGTGCACGCGTCCACCCAGTTCCCCATCAACGCTGCAACGGAAACTCAGTCAAAGATGCGCGTATTTGCAAGGCAAATGCATATATGCTAGACAAACTAAATACTTTTCACTCGGAGTGTCTGTCAAAAAACATATCATTGGTTCGTACAGGCGAGTTGTTTCGCGGCACTCGCTACAAAAAGTGTAAAATTTTGTTGTGGCTACGATTATTATCGAAAGGTATTGTGCCTACATTACGCCATACCCTTTTTGCGGGTAGAAGCCTATATTCAGCAGAATTCTATATGATGAAGAAATCGTGGGGATCAATAAGCAATCATCGTTGTTGAAATAAACCGTGAAGGATTCTTGCTATAATAACTTACCTTCCCCGGGAACGGGGTGTTTTCCAGGAATGGAATTCCAGCATGTCGGATACTCCAAGTAGACTGTGTGACATTGCATCCCAGCTTCCGCACAGACTGTGGCAACATATAAATATGCACCACGTCAGACACTGTCCACCCCGCTTCACGAGTATATGTGTACATACAAATAAATGAGTAACTAAATGTATATATAATTATATAATTATAATTATATGTATATATAATATATATATATATATATATATATTGTCATTTATCGGTACCGCGTGAATTGTGAGTACGACGTGTGCATACCTGCGCTAATGAGGTCTATGTTGAAACCATCCGTGTAGCCCTGGTCGTTGCTGAAACATCGTTACAGACAACACAACATATAATACACCGCATGTATACATATATATATATATATGATATTATTCTATCCCGAACCAGACGTTATAGTTAAAATATACCACCGCCTATTGGCTCGCTATCTATATAGCTACTCCTATATAAACAGCTTCACGTCGCCACGCATTTCCATTTCTACTTTTAACTTAGTTCTAGCTGTGCAGCACCTGCGCACCGCCACCATGTCGCTTGCAGAACTCCTACTGCACATGTGGGCAGACGTAGACCTATGTCGTCAAACGCGCCTGCGATACACACACATATTTATTTATGTAGTATGTATATAATATGTAGGCGTATGTTTCACACCTAAATGTGAACTTACAAACTTACACGTATTCGAATGGTGAATAGTCGTGACCGATGGCGAACAGCCAGGTCTTCTTAAGTCCTGAGCTGCCTGTCAGCGCGCTTGACATGCCAGCTGAATATTAGAAACACTATATTATATTATGTCATATATTATATTATATTATATTATATTATATTATATTATATTATATTATACTATATTATATTATATTATATTATATTATATTATATTATATTATATTAGTTTTGTATAGTATTTTATCTATTTAATAACACCTTATTGTCTTACGCCTGATCATGTCGACTAGATATTACAAAGAATGTTGTATGCTTCGCGCATTAGCAGAAATGATTGAAAACCTTACATAGAAAGGGGCAGGATACCGTAACGAGTGTCACCGCGTGTTACCTTGACCTTGGCCAGAGGTTCCTCCGACGTTAATGTTGGTGGTAGGGTTACGGGATAAACCAACTGACGCCAACACAATAGCAACTATCGCCACCGCCGCCACGACCAACTGAAACGACGACAAGAAATCATCAACTATTAATCATACCTGTTTAAAAAAGTTAGTTTAATTGAAATATTATATTTTTTAATGATAAAAGGTCACGTGAAGGCAACTCGAATATTACGAGACGACAATAGAAAATTCCTTACGAAATTCTTTCTGTATTTTCAATTGCAATTTCATCTCGAGATTACGTGTTTAGATTGAGATTTAATCTTATCGGGGGGACTTGTAGCGGGAGAGGTTTGCGTCGTACTCACCAGGCCGATGAGCGTGAATCTACCCTCGTCCATTCCCATTCTCGCTGAGTCGGTTTCTGTTATCTGAAGAGTGTCTGCGTTCTCGCTCATACTCCGGTACCTCTAGCACCGATGCTCCCTCTTTCTCTAGCTCTCTCTCTCTCTCTCTCTCTCTCACGGTCCCTCTCTCTTCTTGTCCCTGCTGGTCAGAATGTGAGAAGGCCGGACAGGTGAGCACGAGCTGTGATTTTCACACGTTTACTTTGATTGATTACTTTCGTTAAACTTTGATGCATCAGGAATGCGGTCCTACTGCAAGTACAGCTGAGAGGGTCTATGCCTCTCGGGGTACTGCCGGAACGTCCCCTGGGTACGATCCGGTATACCGGAACGTACCCTGGTACTATCTAATATGCCGGACCGTACCTCGCCTACTCCACTAACGAGTCTAGGGAGTCGCCTACGCCTACTCCCTAACCCTAACCCTAACCCTAATCCTAACCATATCAAATAGTGACCAGGGTACGTTCCGGTATACCGGACCGTACCCAGGGTACGTTCCGGCAGTACCCTGGGGGACATAGACCCTATGAGCGCAAGTACAGTACTGACACATGCTCGTTATTTTACGGGAGCACAATTCTCCCTCGTTTTCTTTCCGGCGATTTAATTTTTACATGTAAAGATCATCGTAACTGAAATATGTAATTATATATTAATTAAGTAGAGTTTCATCGAAATATTTAGACTTTTTTTTATTTTAGACAAATTATTTAAAGCCATTTTGTATAGTTCACTAGTTTTACTTTGTTAGAGGTGCATCCCACCACGTATTGGATAAGGGCTGGAGAACATAACAAACACGTAGAACTGGCCTGCTATGCGCCATAACCACGCGACAGAATTTGAAATATTGCCAAATTTTTAGGAGAGCAGGTGACCACGTCGTGTAAAAACGGGTTGTTAGTTGTAAAACCTGCACGTTATAGATGTCTACTGAGCTGTAGGACGAGCGAGCGTGGTTCATGCCTCGGGCGTATCCACTGGTCGGCTACTTACTTGGCGTGGAGTATGGCTCGCGTTTACTTGTTTTCACCTGCGTTCGCCGTACTCGGCCGTAATGTATATCATAATATTATGCTAGTGCGCTCCTCGGGGCCAGGTACACAATACCGGCCCGAAAAAAAATTCTCTGCTTTACGCGCGCGCGAAGCCCCGAGTTGGATCTATATCTTTAGGAAATCTACCATTAATTGCTCATCGGTTTTTGGTAAGATTGACGACACTTTTACGAAATATGCCATGCTGCATCCGACGTGATAGCTATCGAAGTTGCATACATATATATACCAAAAGAAAGTTATGTTACAAGATCTATCAAACTCGTGTTAAACAATATTTTATGTTCCGACAATAGAGCTAAATGTTGTCAATAACAGAAGCATAAATACGCTATGAAACAACTAGCACGCTCGATATTCTAACTTCAAATTCAAACACGTTTCACAGCCATCTTAGTCGCCCTTAATGTGAAGAGATCGCCTTGTCTCTAAACATACAGACACAGCAAAAGTCTTCAATGCCTCATATGTTAGGTTTACTATCCGCTATTTTCGAATCTCATCACAGGCGGTCTTCCAATTTACAAATCAACAATGCATATATTTGTCCGTGTACACTATAGGCAACGCTTCTACCCACTCATCTACGGAAATGCTCCCTGAATGCCGTGCATCCATTAACGCAAGCTAGTGTCTGACAAATGCGAAACCGTTCCAGTACTGGATTTTCTCCGCTAATCCTTAGCAGATTCTGGCAACATCTTCTCATTCATTTCTGTCTAATTTCTGCGATGGTTCGACATTGTTCGATGTTTGTATTGTGCAGTGTTGCTACCTCTACGGCGTGCAATATCGGTGATACGTTCTATTGGTTTTCGTAAAGCGTAAAATTGCTTTCCCTTAACTAGCCGGCAATCTGACATTGGCAGTTCTTGCATCGTAAAGCTGATCCCCAGCGTCTACACTGAACCGCCATAATAAAGTGAAATTTATGCTCATGCACCTAAAAAGCATGCATCATGCTCATGCTCTTTCACTGATGGATCATTGATTAATATAATGATTTAATATAGCAAACATCGATGTCTGATTGTTACTTAATTATCATATTGTCTTGATTAATGTATCCCGATCAATGTTGCTATAAGTTCACACTTTTATTTTAGCGACAGTGTTGTGCCGATAGCACGGGAAGATGTTTATGCGTGACTATACCCACAACCATGCACGATCGAGCGAACGCAAGCCGCCTATGCCTATACCTCGCCGCCTATGCACTGCCTTCTAGCCATGTTAATTGTCGCTGCACGTTTGTTCGAGCACACGTGCGCACCTGTAATATAGTATTTTATCTATTTAATAACACCTTATTGTCTTACGCCTGATCATGTCGACTAGATATTACAAACAATGTTGTATGCTTCGCGAATTAGCAGAAACGATTGAAAACCTTACATAGAAAGGGGCAGGACACCGTAACGAGTGTCACCGCGTGTTACCTTGACCTTGGCCAGAGGTTCCTCCGACGTTAATGTTGGTGGTAGGGTTACGGGATAAACCAACTGACGCCAACACAATAGCAACTATCGCCACCGCCGCCACGACCAACTGAAACGACGACAAGAAATCATCAACTATTAATCATACCTGTTTAAAAAAGTTAGTTTAATTGAAATATTATATTTTTTAATGATAAAAGGTCACGTGAAGGCAACTCGAATATTACGAGACGACAATAGAAAATTCCTTACGAAATTCTTTCTGTATTTTCAATTGCAATTTCATCTCGAGATTACGTGTTTAGATTGAGATTTAATCTTATCGGGGGGACTTGTAGCGGGAGAGGTTTGCGTCGTACTCACCAGGCCGATGAGCGTGAATCTACCCTCGTCCATTCCCATTCTCGCTGAGTCGGTTTCTGTTATCTGAAGAGTGTCTGCGTTCTCGCTCATACTCCGGTACCTCTAGCACCGATGCTCCCTCTTTCTCTAGCTCTCTCTCTCTCTCTCTCTCTCTCTCTCTCTCACGGTCCCTCTCTCTTCTTGTCCCTGCTGGTCAGAATGTGAGAAGGCCGGACAGGTGAGCACGAGCTGTGATTTTCACACGTTTACTTTGATTGATTACTTTCGTTAAACTTTGATGCATCAGGAATGCGGTCCTACTGCAAGTACAGCTGAGAGGGTCTATGTCCCCCTGGGTACTGCCGGAACGTCCCCTGGGTACGATCCGGTATACCGGA